GGAAAAAAAGTACTTCGATTCCTTCTTGGTATATACTCTCACGTGTGCACACTCCAAACTAATGGCTCTGTATTACGTACACATCGTCCATAATCTGCAGACACCACGCGAACCCCCCCCCCCCACAGCCCCCCATCGGAGGAGGAGGCGAAACTCCTGGTGCAGTTTAAATTAGTTTTCTGCGCAGACTATTGCCTCGTGCCTCTATATTACCCTCCTCTTTTGCATGTGTACCACCATATGATTCGGGATTTACTCACGGCCGCCCATTTACCATTCGTTGCACTTGCGCATAAAATTACAAAAGTAGATGAGAGATGTGCACACATGCGTATACACGTGATATTACGTCCCTCCCCTGATGTCTTCACATCCAAGGCTACTTGGCTCCTCTTGTAAACGTCAGAATACACGTATATATAGTATATATACATAGACAGTCACGCAGCCCAAATCCACCTCTATAATATACATTATCCGAACGAACGCTTTCGAACGGTGTATACCTACCATCAGTTTCATACTTATGTGTAAGTACACACCAAAAGCCCCACGTATTGCACGCAACATCGCTCCCCCGTAGCTCGATATATCCCAGGGATCTTTGGTCGCAGCCGGCGAAGGGGAACAAGAGTACGTCTGGCGCGTCAGCCGCTCGAATTTTCGGGCCTCCCTTATATCATATATATATATACACGCGTATACGCACGTAACAACAAAACGACGACGCGCCGTGCCGACGGGCTTATATAGGTATATTATCCCTTCGCTCCTCCCTCTCCCCGCGTCTAAAGGTCAATGCCCTCGGCACTGTGTTTTCCCCTCTTTTATTTTTCTTCTTCTTCTCCTCTGCTTCTCTCTATACACGTATACGTGCCCACTGTGCCCCCCCCGCTCCTGTATGTGCATCCGTAGCATTCCTGCGCGCAGCAAATGAAGTGCAAGTTACCGTCGCGGCTTTCGCTCATTATCATTCTATTTCCTACTTTTTTTTACCCCCCTCGATCTTTTGCGTTATACGTGCGCGTGTATTACTTATACGCATGACCAAAAAAAAACGGTTGGGTAAATAATCGATCCCGTCGACTATGCCGCCGCACAGCCGGCGTTTGTTCGTCCTTTTCGCGCTTGCGTGGCGTATCTGTTCGCGTGGGTGGATGATTGCCTCGAAGGAGGGGTGGAAGCGCCGCGAGAGGATTCCTACAGGTGGCGCTTTGGGGCAAGATGGAGTTGCCGGTTGGTTGACTGTGGAAGATTTTCCTGCTGCCGATGCATCGAGAGGGTCCTTGCTCGACGGGGTAACGGGCTTTTTACGACTGCGCTGATAGGTACGGATTCGTGGTACACGGTGCTTTTTGGAAGGATACATCCTTGCGCGTATCCACGATTATTGATCTGTACTACTGAAAAAAACGCGCGTACCCCAACTTTACGAAAGTTGGTTGGCGTTCACTGTGGTTTGAGCAGACTAAATTTCCAACTAATACATCGCTAGAATTGTGCCATTAAATTATGACGTGGACATTGGAAAATCTGAATTAACTTGGACCTAAACATTAATAAACACGAAAACAGTAGGTACACACATCTCTAAACCTATCAACTGATTGAATTGATGCTGATGAAATTTTGCACCCTTAATTAACTTGTAAGCCCTCAAATCCATACAACATTCAGGTTTTCAACCAGATGGCAATACTATACCACCTGGAAGACACTTGGAAAATCACAAAAGCCAAGATAATAAACCCTTTATATCGCGCAAAAATTCTAAAAACTATGAAACGACACAAATGATGCTTCAAAGCTGTACATCATCTTTGTATCCACGTAAACGTATATGTAAATTACAGTAACCTAAAGATCACCATCTCCCAAGGACATCAGTTCCTAAATCTCCGAGAAAATTTTGAGGATATCGGAGATCAAGGTTACGAGGTTTTATTGTATTTGAGTTCCAACTGTAAGATTCAGAGATTTATTAATTTTCTTGTGATCCACGTTACTACGTTTTTTAAAACACACATTGAAATTAGCACTACAACATCCTTTTTATCTTATTCTGATAACGTTTTCTACAATCGACCCATCACAATTCTTCTGTGACAAAAGTTTTTCCCTCATTCCTCGTAATAAACGCTTTCGAGCCATTTGTTGGTCATCAATCTCGATTATATTTGTCGACTGCAACAACGCATACAAGATATTACCGTAAAAATGCGGTGTTGTTTAAAAGAAAAGTCATAACAACAGTAAGGGTACAGAAAAACGCATTAGTCGGCTCTTTTTATAAAAAAAAAAAAAAAAAAAAAATTTCAAACTACTCTTTTCTCTTCCTCCATTATCCGCGGCAGTATTATGGCCGCAAAGCTGTATCGTACATCGCATATTGTACACCCCCAACGATGCGTAAAGCCAAATTTCCTCCGCAGACACCACGCAGCGATAAATTCTCAGCAGCTAAAATATACGCGTACGCGAACATCGTCACAAAAATGTCCGTATATTTAGCGGTAACGCCTACGCTCATCGTTATTCTCTTTTAATTCACCTATGGCACGGATAGTACACATACACAGAAAAATGAAAGGAACGAGCCTGCAGTATACGAGGCACACATAGGTGCACTTGCACGTGATATTGTATACATTTACGCGTATATAACGCACGCGCCGGCTGCTACTGTGCGTAGGAGGCTCGCCTTTCCTCGCCGTCGACGTAGCTTATATTTTATTGATCGGTTCTTTTTTCCCTTAGATTTGCGTCAATGGTCGCAAGTGAGTTATTATCATCGGGACACCTTCTCGTTTTTCCCTTCTCTCGAGCCCCTCCTCTTGGACACACGATCATTTCTTTTTGATCAGTGTCGCGAATCGAATTTTATCTCATTTCCCCTCTTGCGTTTCACGCGTCCAATCACCCTCTCCCCCATGCTTTTGTTTGATACATCATGTAAAAGTACCGAATAATACCGAAAAATTGTTTATAAAAACAACCGGCGGCAAGCCTTACGCGATAAAATCCTCTTGCACGTGGATGATAACAACCGTTAGCCGTTGCATAATCTTATCCCCGTGGGAGAAGTAAAAAAAAATCAAAGTTGTTGTTGGGTTGGAGCACTTGAAAATATAGCTAAGATTAACATTTTACGGCGATTCAGACGCATACGCGAGGGGAGGTTTGTGTAGTATCATCATCCGGAAATCTGTTTAGCGCGCGTGAATTCCGTCCTGCTGAGTGTTGCTCCGTGGGAATGGGCTGACTCCCGTGATTCTCCTTTTATATGTGTAACTATGCATACTCGGCTGCATGACTATCTGTTTTACCTCGTGTTTTACTATATGCGTGTGTTTGACGATCGCTAGATTACAGCTATAGATATACCACCTACCCAGGGGGGATATTCCTTACGTCTACGGGATGACCGTCGCGGATCCGTTTCGGCCAACTCTCGCTTCTGCGACACGATTTTGTTTTGTATATTCGAATGAAAGATATAGACTTTTCTTTGCAGTGGGTATAACAATGGGAGAGTAGTTGAGATGAAAAACCATGAGATTAGGGGCATCGGATTCCGAAGAAAATTACAACGACCCGTTGCCCCTCGGCCCCTCTCCTCACCCGGAGCCAAATTAGCCACAATGTGCGAACACGAGAGTGTTGTACAAGGGCGTCGAAGAGTTACATTGGACCCGATCTAAAGGGAGCGCCTATATTGAAGTACTAAAGCGCGCGTCACGCGATCCTCGAACAAAAGGCGAGCAAAGCCGAATGGATTGAAAAATGGTGCGAATCGACAAGTTGTGCGCCAGTTTCTTTTTTTATTCGATCGCTAAACTCGTTGTCGACTATAGAGTCGATTTTCATACCGATTCAATGATACCTTGTATACAGAAAAACCACCACCGTGTATACCTATATATAGCTAGGACCGAGGGAGTATCGATAAGAAATCGACCGAGCCCCTCCATTGAAGGGCATTGCTTGCAACAACCCTGCACCTCAGTGGGGCGATTTTTAATCACCACTGGGACTCATGTTAATTTAGATCATTGTCCTAATTTTTCTTGATGCCTCTCTCGATCGCTTTCGTCTTTCGCTTAAAAAAAGACTCAAAATTGATAGGTGACGAGACTGACGGGTAGCCGATTTCTATCGAATTTGCGGGTGTGACGTCAATCGGGGAACCGTTTTTTATCCATTAATTGCACGAACGTTTCGTTGACGAAAATGCAGTATCAATAATCAATCTCTGGTGAATCATTGGCACGAACTGTTGTTGAAAAATCTACCATGAAACGAATACGTAAATAAAGAAAAAAAAAAATCATGTTTCGAGTTATGCAATGGTTTCATGTAATATGAGACACGATCGTTGCGATGGAAAAGTTGGTTTGACAAGGGCCATTTAAATGTCGAATTGCCTGTGAAAGAAAATCCCTCCAAAAAAAGAAGCAAAAAGTGTGTTTTACCATCAAACTGCGAAATATGACATTCCTACTGATTTAAAATACATGAAGTACTGCGTTGCTTAGAAGGTATTTTGAGATATGATCGAGTACTCTGTCAAAGCTTTAGCCCGTCATTTTATGAATCCATTTGTTCTTTTGGAACCAGACAAGTGATTAGTAGTTAGTAGGGGATAAATCTATGTACAATAGCACCTATAATTAATTTTTTCAACATGTTGTATGAAATTGGCACCATTTTAAGGCCCCCACGAACAGATAAAACAAAAACATTTAACAGTTTAGGACTAGGTAAACTAATGTGATCCAACTCCCTGGCTGCAGTAACAAAGTCAACCACACTTTTTGCTCTGAATTGGTAACGGGAAAAGAGAGAAAGAAAAAAAAGGACCGCCATTTTATATAAAAAAAAAATTATAAAAGTAATGAAAATGTCAATGCAAAAAAAAAAAAAAAAAAAAAAAAAAAAAAAAAAGAAAGAGAAAAGAAAAATAAGCTGTGGCCTGTGGTGCTGTCTTGTTTGTGTTCCAGGGTCCTAACGGTCCTCGGCCAACGTACGCGGGCGCCAACGGGGGCAGCGCCGGCGTGGGCGGAGGCGGGGGCGCCAACAGCGCCGGCAACAATGTCGGGGCCGGGGGCAACGTGGGTCCGGCCGCGGGCGGCGGTGCCCAGACGACCGGTGGAGGCGGTCACGGCCTCAAGGGGGGCGTAGGCGGCGGGGGCCCTCGGGGTGGCGGTGGCGGAGGTGGCGGGGCCGGCAACCCCGTGCAGCAGTACCGTGGGGCGGCCGCTGCCGCCGCGGCGGCAGCTTGGGGCGCGACGGCGCCGACGCACGCGGCTGCGGCGGTCGCGGCTACCGGCTATCCGCCCTACGCGCGTGGCTACCCAAGCGGGGCGGCGGCGGCGGCAGCGGCTGCAGCCGCGGCGGCGCAGATGCCGGCCGTAGTCAGCGCCCAGCAGATACCGCCTAACCCCAACCCCTACAGTGCCACGAACTACGCCCAGCACGCGTCGGTCAGTAGTTGTTGTTCTTGTTGTTGTTTCTGCTGTTGTTTTCTCGTTTTATACCTATATACATGTGTATGCAACTCATTCTCTCTCTTTCTCTTAATGTTTATATTATACCATTGTGGTGTAATAATTATGAGTAGTACTCTCTGTCCCACTTTTTACACGTTATTGTGTCATTATTATTTTCTCCCTCTTCCATGCGCATGTGTCGCCGGTTTTCAGCTGTACCAGATGTTCAGCTTCACATGTTTTCGAGCAGAGTTTTTCCTAATGCTTAAAATTCTAAACATGTTGTGAATAAAATGTATTCAAAAAAACCTTTACTCTTGCATGCATAAGTCTCTAACATATGATTAATTGGAACATTAGTTAAATTAAAATCAATCAACTCGATGCCCTCCATATGTTAGTTCTTTTAATAATTTACTTAAATAGATGCTGTTTTTTTTCATAACAGACTGCATTTTAACGAATACAAATTGTAGAATTGAAACTCATGACAGCCAACGTTGGATAATTTTCTACATCTGGAGCCAAAAGTTTACCAAAAATAAAAATAGTCAATTTCGTGAGTCGGATGTCGTTGATTCGAAAATGATATTTACAGTAAAAATAAATAAGAATAATCAATCTCCAGCATCTATTTTCGTATATTCTTGTAAAAATAACGTATTTGAAAAATGACGAAAGCTTTTTTGCACTTAAAAATTGCAAAAGAAGGTACTTGCGCAACTTCTTTTTTCACAAACTGTCAATCTTTTGTATGTATATATGTTGCACTCTATTATCGTTTCCGATGTTTTTATAGACATGGTACATATGTATATGTGTATATATATGTGTATATATATATATGTATATGCATTCTTTTTTTTCGCCACATTATGTGCACTCATATTTATACACCAAAACTATTTTATTGCTTCACGACGAATTAAAATGTAATTGTTTGATTTAATCGAAGTAATGACGAATTGATATGTTGCAATGATTGACGCAGTATGGAGGACAACGAGTTCCTACCGCCTCGTCTCCGGCGAACACAAACAGTAGTTCTAGCAGTGCCACCGGTAGTCAAAGTGGGACGATGAGTACTAACCTTAGCAATAACGCGATGCAGGGCCAGCAGTCGGAGCAGTTGTCGAAAACCAACCTCTACATACGTGGCCTCAACCAAAACACAACAGACAAGGATCTTGTCAACATGTGTTCTCAGTAAGTTCGCCAGCAAAGCACGAAAAAGAATAAAAAGCTGCAGCCGCAACCAAATCGTTTTTTTTTTTTTTCTTTTTTTTTCCTTCAATTGTCACCCGGTTTACTTTCACGCCAGATATAGTTTCCGCTGCCACTTTTTTTTTGGTTTTCGAATGAAAAATACAACCCCGGGAGCAATGACTTGCCAAGGATTCACTAATGCGACTTGTTTGCAGGTACGGAACCATTACCTCGACGAAGGCGATTCTGGACAAAAATACAAATAAATGTAAAGGTACTTAGTTGAAATTTCTACATTTCGGTTACATGCTTCTTTTTTCTCACGCTCGCCATATTATAAGCTTTTCTTTAATCTCTCGATCGAAATTTCAAGTATCACGTAGCTCATCGTTTGTGAAATATTTCATTTTTCATTTTATTCGTCGAATTATTGTTTTATTTAACGATGAAAATTAAATTTTTTATCCAAAGTATTTGTAAAAGTAAATTTTGTAGAAGAGTATACATAAAATAAAGTTATTGAAAGAAGAAAAAAAAAATTATCTTTTTGCCATTGAACTTCGTTGCTTTGAATTACATCATGATTAACTATCGTTTCGTCAATGTTTATTAGTTTAGACTAGAAGCATAGAATAGCCACCTCATCTTGAATATAATGAAATTTACTTTTTAACAAGCATAACGATATTTTTTGGAGTACAAGAGGTAGAATCTACCCGTTATAAATAGTAAACAACAATACATAGTGGTAATCCTGCATAATTGAATAATTTTTCGATTGCTCAGTCAAAGCAATCGAGTTATCTGTCATTTTTGAAGGATTATCATTGTATTTTACTTATTATCTCTTTACTGTGTGTTTTCAATAGTTTTAGTAGATTTTTTAAATTTATTTATATTTACATAAATAGTTATCGGATTGTGTCTTAGTCGTTTTAATGTTACCTCACATCATGATTATGTGTCTATAAAAACAATGTCTGATTAATTTGTTTGAAAATCAATTTAATTCCTTTTTCATAGCATTACAATAAATGAATGTTTTCAATGATAGTTATAGTGATCGTGATAGATGAAACTCTAGAGTTTTTCCTTAGACCATACGTGTTTTTCAATTTGATGATTTTTCGATTAAAAAAAAAAAAAAATTTATCGTGTACAATATCAAGATAGTTATGATTTGTAAATTAAAACAGTTTTTTTTTGCAAATTCAAGTTGAAGTAACGTTTAAAAGTTGAAAGACACGTAGTGCTCTAGACAGAGCTGCAATTTTTCTTAGACTAAGTTAGTGTTTTCCGACTTGAATCAAAAACAAAAAAAAAAAAAAAAAAAGAAATGTATGAATTTTTCTCAAGGATCGTTGTCATTTCTTCTTGCAGGTTATGGCTTTGTAGACTTTGAGTCACCGGTGGCGGCAGAGGGTGCCGTCAAAGCCCTGGTCGCCAAGGGTATCCAAGCACAGATGGCGAAAGTGGGTATCTGGTTGATCCGTAGACTGGCCAGTGTACGTTGGTTGTGCATGCAAGTACAGTAATACCAGAGTAACAGTAAACCTCTTTCTCTCTCTCTCTCTCTCTCTCTCTCTTTACCTTTGAAACCTGTCTTCTGTCGTTCTCTCTCATTCTTTCTTCTATTTCTTGTATCCGCATCCCGAACGTCCCGTCTCTCTCTCTCTCTCTCTCGTGTGGTGATCCTAAAAAAGCGACAACATAAGGACAAAGTTCAAAATGAATGAATATTCATTGGGTAATTCTGACAAAGAGTTTGTATTGATATGTTTTTGGAATTTTTTTACATTGCACAAAGTTTTTGCGATCGAGGAACCGGGAATACTCTTTGGGGAGGTTTCGACTTCCCGTTGCAGTATTTTCAGCCACAGAGAAATTTTTGACTTTTGAAATTTTGAAATTTAATCATTCAAAAGTTGACATTTTTTAATGAAATTTTATTTTATTTGTTTTTTTTGTTTTTTTTGCTCATACGAAATTCGTTTGATGATCATACACGAACGAAAAAACCCAAAAATGAATTGAAACCTACCAATCTACAGCCTCTTATTTTCTGATCTGACTTACTAGATCTACTGTTGATTCTCTGAGTCTGTCTCTTTACTGTCTCACATTACCTACCAACCTGTCAATGCTTGCTGCTATACCTCGGCCACAGTTGCTGATTACTGCTATGTTAAAACACGTTCCAAGTTATGACTGAAAATTGCCTTTATCATACAGCACTAATTCAATGCCTACAGCGATTAATATTGTTCTGTAATTTGTACCCAAAAACGCGTACTGTTTCCGCTGATATTGTTTATTAAAAAAATAGAGCTTCAATGGCACTGCCATACCGTGGTTTTGAGGACTTGAAAGTTTTATTGCTTGTGACGTTTATTTGTAGTAACACAACTTAACGAGATTGCAATTCAGTAGATATTTTATGTTTATCGAAAATATTAAATTTTAGATAGTTTTATCGTTCTGTTATAGCTAGTATTTTCATTTATTGTTGATGATTAAAAAATTAATAATATTTTACAATGACTAGCTTAAAGAGCGCAGTATAACATTTAGTAGAGCAAAAAGTGTTGTAATCCAAAAACCTTATAATTATAGAGTAAAAAATATTTTAAGTTACTTCAATAAAAGTGAGTAACCTATCTATGCAGAATAATATGTTTATACAAAACTTGTAGATCTTGAAGAAATAAGTAACTTATTTGCAAAAGTTAAAATACTTAATAGCTATGAATGTAATAATTATTAAAAATAATTAAAATCGCTGATAACAGTGCTTGAAGTACAAGATAAAGTGTTCAATACAAAAGTTGTGGATCTCGAAAAATACTACTTTCACGTACAGATCATAGTTATCGTAGTTACATTTTTTGCTCTAAATATAAATCTAGTAGTCGTGACTTATAAACAAAAGTATAGTTTTTTTATTAATAGATTTTGGCCACTTATTTATTTTTTTTCAAACTTGAAAAGTTCTCACAACCTTTATTTGGTTAACAACTAAAGTAGTTTATTAAAATCTATTTTATTGATGTATGGCAGCATAGACAAAATTGTTAGTATATCGTTCTGATATTTTGTAATAGACTTGTTTTTTTACGTTGTATAATTTAAAAAACAAAACATGACGACCTCAAGAGAACAGTCGTACATGTGATCATTTATTTTGATTTCTTTATTCACAAATGGTTTTTCATTGGATTCTTTTTTCATTGTGAGAAAACGTAAACCAACGTACATATTGAAGTCATGTTTCTTTCATATTTGACTTGTTTAATATAAATTGAAAAATTATTTTTGTGAAAAATATAAAAAATATTCGATTTTCGATAAGATAATAATTTAAAAAAAAATTTTTTTTAATTGTAATTATGCTTACAATTAAACAAGACTCATTTCTATTGTATCGCTGAAACTAACTCGGAATGGTTTTTTCCTAACTGAAAGTGGTGGAAGCACGAGGTGCCACTTGCTAAAATAATGACAATTGGAAGCATGTGAAGCTTTTGAAAAGTTAAAAATTAAATGTTATTGTTGTCAAAGTATTGTTTAAACATGTACTTATAATGGTTAACTTTTGCATCGTATGGTGTGCAGTTGTACGCTAATTATTCTCTTTAACAATGGCTTTGTCAGCCTCATTTTTTCAAAAATTAAAATCAGCTGCTAAAAATCTTACTTCTGGGGTGCTGGTTAGCTGTGATTGGCAAACGCCTCGCTTCTTATCATTGTCTTAAAGTATATGAGCAGCCAACTTGTGTTGGTCTATTATTTTTAGTCACGTTTTTCACTACATTGTGTAGGATTCAAAATTATTTAGACTTTTTTGATTCATACTTTTAATCAACAACATTAAAGCCAGCTCTCTTTGAATCATACATGATTTTCATCAAGTTGATAGTATTAAAAATAATGAGTCTTTCCTAATAAAGATTTTTTGAAAGTTATTACACTTAATGTCAATTTTTTTATACATATATTTATACACTGTGTTTTATAATATATAAACGCCATTAGCTTGGCTTAGATAATGACGTACTTATAACTATTCTGTTTCTTTCAATGCATACGCAAGATTGAAGTAAATTGTCGTAAAGTATAAGTATCTTATTAAGTAATCGTAGATTATTATTCAGTCTTATTTAAAAAAATTGTTTAAAAATGGTGGATTTCAAAGTATGCTTATTTACATTTGTTTCGTGATTACACCTTAAAATTTAAATTCAAACGATCGCGTTACATTTTCATTATCACTTTTAAAATTTTTTTTTTTTTTCTTTTCTTTCGATTTGTTTTTGTTGCATTATGTTACAACATCATCGTTTAAGTATTCACGCGAACCTTTACTTTTAATTTTTTTCTTTTCAATCTTCAGCCTCGTCTCATTTCGTACATTTGGTTAGACTATGACTGTGCTTCGACTATTGTGCTTTTATTTAGCGGAATGTTGTATAAAACAGATTTTCCAGGTTCGAAATTCTCGCCTCCTATATATATACATATTTACATTGTTTACCGCTTTCGATGGCTCGTTACAGTAATTATTGGATTATATACATACATCTCCTTTCCACTTGTAGATAAAACTCGTTTTCAATGTGATCATCTTTCACACGCCAAATTTCAGTTTTCTTTTTAGTTGTATTTTAATTATTCTTTCTTTTTTTTTTTTTTTTTTTTTCCATCTCTTTGTAGAGTAAAAAAGTACACTGTACTCGATACTCTTACAAGTCGTGAAGTAGCTATACATACATTATAATTGTTTGGTTGGTTTTGTAGTGCGTAGCGTCATTATGTTTTTAATTTTTGTTTTATTTATTATTTCGATGATGATGATTATTATTGTTGTAATATGATTGATAAAATTTTGAAGAGCCACCAGAATGTGGTAACGTAATGCAATGGAGCATGAGATGATTTTTTCCGACGTTGAAAAACGACTCGTACCTCGAACTTTCTACTTGAAACACATCTATAAAATTATTTGTATTCTCTGCAGTTCTGTTTATTACATATATATACATAGTTGAATCGAGTACTGTCATAGCTTATTATATTGGTCAGTTTTATTGTTTCGTAGCTTTTGTTATTGTCGTAGATTATATTGTTTTTTTTTTTTATATTATTTAAAATTACCTTGTTTTATATCGTTGAACTATCAGAATATTATAATTTAAAAGTATGTAACATATGTTTTCGTTCAAGAAAAAAAAAATCGTCCTATCAAGTTATTTAACGAGCATATATTTTTTGGCTTTATTCGTATTGATCAAATTCGAGACATTGATTACATTAGAGATTTATCGAATTAATCAAAATTTGCAACGAAACACTCAACGACATCCGTAAGTCCGGTACTATTTGAAATTGTCTACTCACCGTAACGATGTTTCAAAAAAGATTTATCTGTATTACAATAAGTTCTCAGCAGTCCTGGAGATGTCGGTGGGTGGATTCTGTTTATCAAATAATGTTTTTAATTTAGAGTTGAATTAAAAAAAAAAAAAAAAAAAAAAAAAAAAATCCAAGTAACGTTTGACGAGATACAATTTGATATACATGATAATATAAGACAAACACAAAAAATAAAAGCGTCCCAAGCGGAGCGGTGTGTGAGCACGCTCGCGGACCGGAAGACAATAAAATTGCATAGCATATTCGTTGATTTCTCCAGCAACAGGAGCAGGACCCGACCAATCTGTACATCGCCAATCTCCCGTTGGCCTACAAGGAGAACGACGTCGAGAGCATGCTCGCTCAGTACGGCCAGGTCATCTCCACGCGCATCCTACGCGATACTTCCGGACAAAGTAAAGGCGTCGGATTCGCAAGGTTGGTTCACGTTTTCTCGTTATTTCATACACGTATAATGTTGGGTGAAGTAGTTTTAAGTGTTTCATCTAGGACAGCGCTTGTATCATTTCAAGTTGAAAAATGTTGAAACCTATTTTGATGTGTTGGTGATTCGTTCGATGTGTTTTTAATGCCGGGTATTTTTGCTCGTCAGGATGGAGTCCAAAGAAAAATGCGAACAAATCATACAGATCTTTAACGGTAAGTCGCTGCACGGGGGCAAGGATCCCCTGTTAGTTAAATTCGCCGACGGTGGCAACAAAAAGAAGTCACTCTACAAGAGCACAATATGGCGGGAAACGGGTGACGTGAATAATTCGGTAAGAAGATTCATTGTTATGCAGGATGTATTGCTCCTCTTTTGTGATAATGATGGTGATACCTAATGAAAAATGTTTTGATCATTGCAGAATATGACATTAAACTACGACACGAGCGCGGTTGGGCAGAACGGCGTGGCGACGGCTCACATGCTGCCCGCGGCAACCCTCGCACAGTACGGCCGGCACTACAGTCAAGCGGTGCCCGGTTACAACGTGCCCGGCGGGCCCTGGGTCACGCCTTACCTCGTTCAGACTCCACCGCACATGCAACAGGTCGACGTGAGTTTTATTACGAAGCTAGACCCCACTTTGTTCGTTTTACATTGTGTTTTTCTCAATTTGTTTTTTTTTTTTTTTTTTTTTTTTTTTTTTTTTTTTTTTTTTTTTTTTTTTTTTTTTTTTTTTTCCATCTCTTTGTAGAGTAAAAAAGTACACTGTACTCGATACTCTTACAAGTCGTGAAGTAGCTATACATACATTATAATTGTTTGGTTGGTTTTGTAGTGCGTAGCGTCATTATGTTTTTAATTTTTGTTTTATTTATTATTTCGATGATGATGATTATTATTGTTGTAATATGATTGATAAAATTTTGAAGAGCCACCAGAATGTGGTAACGTAATGCAATGGAGCATGAGATGATTTTTTCCGACGTTGAAAAACGACTCGTACCTCGAACTTTCTACTTGAAACACATCTATAAAATTATTTGTATTCTCTGCAGTTCTGTTTATTACATATATATACATAGTTGAATCGAGTACTGTCATAGCTTATTATATTGGTCAGTTTTATTGTTTCGTAGCTTTTGTTATTGTCGTAGATTATATTGTTTTTTTTTTTTATATTATTTAAAATTACCTTGTTTTATATCGTTGAACTATCAGAATATTATAATTTAAAAGTATGTAACATATGTTTTCGTTCAAGAAAAAAAAAATCGTCCTATCAAGTNTTATACAAGCAGCTCTTAAATCTTATTGTAAGTCTGCAGAAGCTGATCTTACCAATCCTACCTAGATTAATTTTTTAATTGAAATGACCTTGTATGTATGTACACTGTTAAATGATTTTAAATATTGAAAGTTAACAAGTTGTTCTATATAATAAATTCATTTTGATTAATCCTCAAAATAATGTAATGGTCTATGTTGGATTAAAAAACTTTCAGTGTTATGTTACAGTGCAATGTATCACACATTCATGTTGTGAGCTTTAATATTACAATAACAAAGTTTGATAGCACACAAGTTAAAAGTCTCAACTTGCATCACAAATAGAAGAATATTAGAGAAATTTGTGAACTAATAAGATGTACCAACGATAAAAGTGAAACATAAATCTTGATAAAACGTTTGAGTAAAGCAATTGTTCAAGTTTCATAACTTTTAATTATAACAGTTGATACCGTAAATATGCATTTGCTCTTTTAAAATTTGGTTTTTCCTTGTTTCAATAAAAATTTGTGTTACAGAAATCTTGAATTACGATCAAATATATATGCATAAATTAATCAGTCGAAAAGAGACAACTGAAGAAAAAAGGCCTAAAAAAGAAGAGGAAGAGTCTCTTAAGAAAGGAGCATTGGATCTTATTAAATAAAAAATACATTTATTACAGATAAGTAAATTTAAAGTCTTATAAACAAACAAAGAACCCAACATTCCCTGATTATGTGAGATCCAATGCTCCATTCTTAGGAGACTCTTCGTGTGACTGATCTTCTTTTTTAAGCCTTTTTTCTTCGGTCGTTTCTTAGACTGATAAATTCACATATGTGCTTGATCGTTATTCAAAATTTCAGTGGCACAATACATATCATATACTTAAATTAAGTGTTGATTTTAACTGTAAAGTCAAAGGGCTGCACTGCCTGTGGTTCCATAAGTCAATGGTAAAAGGTCTAAAGTATTGTGAGTTTGTGAATATGGTTGATTGTACAAGCCATATAAGATAAGTAGAATATTTGTACTTTCACAGGTCGATTTTTGGCTCAAAGATAAATTGTAAACTTGCCGCAGATAGCACAAAAAATGTTAAATTTTATATTGTCTATCTATGAAATCAGTTGCGGCTGGTTTATAATTGAATGAGTAGACTGCATGGTGATAGACGCTAGGTACATTTGGTAATTACAATGCTCTGAGGCTCAATTTTATAGGCTGTAGGTATAATTAATATAAAAGATAAATAAATAGTACGTTTTGGTTTCTTATAATGAGTGAGTAGGTGTACTATAGGTAAAAAAAAAAAAAAAAAAAAGATCGTATTGGTTGTTGTTTGTGTGCTTCCCAGATAGACCTATCACCATATTCTTTTCACCCACTTGATCCGGGCACAAATTTTCCATAGTGCGAGTGAGTGCGCATTGTTACATTAAAGGTTAAACTGTGCACTTACAGGTGAGAACGAACATCGNTTTTTTTTTTTTTTTTTTTTCTGTCGAGTTTCCGTACTCGTTCACGCACTTTTTTGTCTTAATTTAGTCTCATGAATCCGATACTTGTGATGTTAATTTTTTTGTAAATTAAATGTCCAGCACACGTCGTGTACACTTAATCCATATTTCATCCATAGGGGTCTAGAGTTTCATGTATTTTCTACTTAAGCACTGTCGAGTGCGTTCAAATCCTTACTGAAGGTTAAACATTTTTTTGCCAAAAAATAAACAGATGATGCCGTCGGCCGACCCGAGCAACGCGCAGTACAGCATGATCCCACAGCTCACAACTCAAATGACCTCCTTACATCTTGGCGGTGGTTCCGTAAGTGCAATACACTCAGGAGTCCTTGTTTAAGAATATTGAGCAAAAACCGTGCAAGTGTTTGAAAAAAATACGTTTTGTTGTGATTTTTCAGTACATAAGCCCACATCCCTACCCGTACTCTTACCCGGCACCGAGCATCATCCACGCTCCAATGACACTGGGCGAGTCCGAGCAGACGAGCAACGCGGCGTCACCGGACGACTCCTATCAGCAGTACCAGGCTCAGCAGCCCAAGTAGGCTACAGTCTTTTAGGTTAGGCCAGGTTTTAGCGATTAGGATTAGATCCGCGACTTCCGCGAGCGTGATCCTGATGTGATCACGACGATGATGGCGACGGCGACGATGACAATGCGTCAAACACACGAGTCAGAGGATAGGTTTAACTTAGGCTTCGCTCATTATATACTTATTACATTATGTAGATTAATAGCTTAAGATCCATTTCCACGCAATATGTGACTGAACTAACGCCAACTTCTCTTTTCACTTTTTTTTAGGTTCAACTACGCGGAGGGTTACACGAGTTAGACGAGGTACGCTTGTCGATACAGGGAGTTGCATTGAAAACAGAAAATGGAAAAAAAAAAAAAAAAAAAAAAAACAAAATAAAAAAAAACAAAAAAAAAAAAAAATTCAAAAAAAAAAAAAAAAGAATGATCACGAGGATTATAGATGAGAGAACTGAGGGAAAGGAAAGAAGGAAATTTAATTTACGGATGAAAAAAAGTCAGATAAGATTCTTCCTCACGATAAATTGACTTGCCAGCCATCTTTTATACATTCTATCCACCAAGATGAAATAGGTGAAAGTAGTTGAATATTTTGCAACGAGTAGATAATGATTGAGTGTTGAATTGAAAAAAAAAATAATAATAATAAAGTAAAATAAATAAATGAATAAAAAGGAAAGGAGAGCGAGTAGGGGCAGGGAGCAAACTTGCGATGTTGATTGATGTACGACAATGCTATAGACACACAAATCATAAGAAAATAAAAAAAAATAAAAATAAAAAAATAGAAAACGATGAGAAATAAGCGGCACGATGGCTCCAGAAAGCGTCAAGAAACACATCGCATGGCTGAATATAGGAGACGATCGACGTAGGCAACGGGGCAGTTATAGGCGTTCAAGCTCATAGGCTTCCAGGATAACTTTTAGGTATTTACATTTAACTAAGGAAGACGTTAAATAAGTCGTCGGAGATAAGCGCTTGCGAGAGTGAGAGAGAGAAAATGCGAGAGTAAGAATGAGAGTGTGTGAATAAATATTTTAACAAACTGGAAACTATAAAGAAAAACGCTGCTTAAAATATACAAAGAAAAAAAAAATCTTCCCATATTTCAAGTTTCAAGAAAAATCAAGTTTTGTAAACTCGTTGTCTCTCGAGACTGATGATGATTGTTGTTTCGCCGCGCTCGATGAACTTTTTTGGAATCTTCTTAATTAAGAGAACAATACTTGCCTTAAATGTGCGATTTGTACCTTTCTCACTGGCGTCTTCATTGGAGCGGATTTTTAAAATATGCAGTGCCTTTGTTGACCTTTGGACGTTTAAAGTATTTTCGTGTAACATAAACAATTTTTACAACTGCGTAACTCATAACGAAAAATCTTTTGTTTTTGTGTCTCACCCTCTCGCTCTTCCTTTTCTCCCCTTTACACTTTACGCATATGCAATCACCTCTTTTTTATGTTTACATTTCAATGTAATTTTAATTTAATGAACATGTATATATTTTTATATTTTAATTGTACATGAGTCGACAGTTTTTGTATTCTTTTTTATACCTTCGCTGCGCAAAGGTCAATTTGTAGGACTGTTTAGTAAAAACAAATTTTTAGATCAGTGAGAGATGCTAGTGGAATAAGTTTTTAAATGATTAATGACTATTATTATGTACTGTTTGAAAATAGCTTTTCTATTGTAGAAACATGGGAAAAGTAAAAATTAGTGACAATTAATCAGAATGAAATGTAACAATAGTTGAAATGTGAAAATTGGATTTTTCGTGAAACTTGAAGAAAAGGACAGGGCATAAGCCACTAAAAGTGCCCTTAGTTTATTTTGGATCGTTTGAAAAATAAAAAATAAAAAATAAAGGAAGCTAGTCTTTGTGCGAGATAATGTGGAGGTTTAGATAGGCTCTTTTGAAAAAAATGTCACGGTTAAACGAAAAGAGTATAGTTCTCTTTGATGAGATGAAAAAAAGAAAAGACCTGCCTATGTACATGATACAGACTGCGGAAGTAACTGTTAAAAATTGTAAAAAAATAAAAAGAAAACATTGCACATATAATTACGCTGTGAGTGCACTTTGTATCGAAACATGTTATTACAGACAGATCCGTTGGTCTTGGTCTTGTGGATACTTATGCCTCCATGATTCGGTACATTAAAAAAGTGACACACAGAGAATCAAACTCTTTCTTATTAATCATCGTCGTCCCTTGCTTTTTAAACAAATCAACAAAAAGAAAATAATGATCTCTGTTTAGAGATTTGCATACAGAGAACTTTGGTTCCGTCTTTTTAACAAAGACCTCAGCTCGTCATGACACGAGTAAAGGATATGTTTTTGAAAAGAGAGAGAGAGAGAGAGAGAGAAGAACGAGGGACACGAGGCTCTCATATTACACTCGCAGAGTATCCTTTCGAGGCAGATCGATTTACAAAGAAGACTCTGCGTGCATTAAGGATACTAGGAAGTGAAATATTTTTAAAAATTTATCACAGATTTTTTATATTTTTATGCGAGTTTTTAGAGTTGATGTAAGTAGAATTAAACTTTATTGTAACGAATTATTCTATTTTATTTTTAGAGAAATTGAGAATAATTATTTTTAGAAAAATTGATGGATAATAAAAAGTGGTGAATATTTTAAAGAATCCCAGCATGACGATGACCAATGTAATTGAGTGTCAAGGAAATATTGTATATTAAATTTTTTGATTCATTGAAAAGAAAATAATGAAATAAATTTTTTTATGATTTAATGTCATAATAGTCAACAACATACGGTATCCTTAATGAAGTACAACTTATTTTATTCGGAAAACCAGAACATGTACAAGCACGTCTTGCCTGACACCATGCTTCCGCCAAAGACGTTTTATATTAAAAAATACTAGCTAACCATAAGAATAAATAAATCGAACCAAGTGGATATTTGATAACAATATTATAACGTCTTCGTTAGAAGCGCGAGTGCAGGCCAAGATGTCCTAGAAACGATTCAGTATTAAATAAGAAACGTCCCGCATGAACATTAGACGTCACACATTCCCCCACATTATCCTGAAGCAGCGTGACATGCATTTACGGTGTCCACCTTAAAGATTAAGATTAAAGGAAAAATTAAAACAAGACTGGGAAGTATCGCGTTATCGTACAAGAGAAAAAGAGAGTTTGAAAGAATCAGTAGGCAAACCATTTGAAATTCAGAATTTTCTTAGCGCCCTTAGAGTGTAAAATGTGATATTTTTCACTAAAGAGAGATCGGCAGAGAGAAAGAAAAGTAGAGCGAACGAAATAAAAGAGAGAAAGCATTTGAGCGCCAGTGAGAGAAAGAGAGAGAGAGAGAGAAGGAAAAAGAGAAATAAACCATTGTGGTTGATGAACAAATCGACGTAGGCGAGTTTTTTCTCATACGAAGAAAGCTTCGCGTTGTATCATTAAGTCTATCTTGTTCATCAAATTGAGAGTAAAAAAAATAAAAAATAAAAAATAAAGGAAGCTAGTCTTTGTGCGAGATAATGTGGAGGTTTAGATAGGCTCTTTTGAAAAAAATGTCACGGTTAAACGAAAAGAGTATAGTTCTCTTTGATGAGATGAAAAAAAGAAAAGACCTGCCTATGTACATGATACAGACTGCGGAAGTAACTGTTAAAAATTGTAAAAAAATAAAAAGAAAACATTGCACATATAATTACGCTGTGAGTGCACTTTGTATCGAAACATGTTATTACAGACAGATCCGTTGGTCTTGGTCTTGTGGATACTTATGCCTCCATGATTCGGTACATTAAAAAAGTGACACACAGAGAATCAAACTCTTTCTTATTAATCATCGTCGTCCCTTGCTTTTTAAACAAATCAACAAAAAGAAAATAATGATCTCTGTTTAGAGATTTGCATACAGAGAACTTTGGTTCCGTCTTTTTAACAAAGACCTCAGCTCGTCATGACACGAGTAAAGGATATGTTTTTGAAAAGAGAGAGAGAGAGAGAGAGAGAAGAACGAGGGACACGAGGCTCTCATATTACACTCGCAGAGTATCCTTTCGAGGCAGATCGATTTACAAAGAAGACTCTGCGTGCATTAAGGATACTAGGAAGTGAAATATTTTTAAAAATTTATCACAGATTTTTTATATTTTTATGCGAGTTTTTAGAGTTGATGTAAGTAGAATTAAACTTTATTGTAACGAATTATTCTATTTTATTTTTAGAGAAATTGAGAATAATTATTTTTAGAAAAATTGATGGATAATAAAAAGTGGTGAATATTTTAAAGAATCCCAGCATGACGATGACCAATGTAATTGAGTGTCAAGGAAATATTGTATATTAAATTTTTTGATTCATTGAAAAGAAAATAATGAAATAAATTTTTTTATGATTTAATGTCATAATAGTCAACAACATACGGTATCCTTAATGAAGTACAACTTATTTTATTCGGAAAACCAGAACATGTACAAGCACGTCTTGCCTGACACCATGCTTCCGCCAAAGACGTTTTATATTAAAAAATACTAGCTAACCATAAGAATAAATAAATCGAACCAAGTGGATATTTGATAACAATATTATAACGTCTTCGTTAGAAGCGCGAGTGCAGGCCAAGATGTCCTAGAAACGATTCAGTATTAAATAAGAAACGTCCCGCATGAACATTAGACGTCACACATTCCCCCACATTATCCTGAAGCAGCGTGACATGCATTTACGGTGTCCACCTTAAAGATTAAGATTAAAGGAAAAATTAAAACAAGACTGGGAAGTATCGCGTTATCGTACAAGAGAAAAAGAGAGTTTGAAAGAATCAGTAGGCAAACCATTTGAAATTCAGAATTTTCTTAGCGCCCTTAGAGTGTAAAATGTGATATTTTTCACTAAAGAGAGATCGGCAGAGAGAAAGAAAAGTAGAGCGAACGAAATAAAAGAGAGAAAGCATTTGAGCGCCAGTGAGAGAAAGAGAGAGAGAGAGAGAAGGAAAAAGAGAAATAAACCATTGTGGTTGATGAACAAATCGACGTAGGCGAGTTTTTTCTCATACGAAGAAAGCTTCGCGTTGTATCATTAAGTCTATCTTGTTCATCAAATTGAGAGTAAAAAAAATAAAAAATAAAAAAAAACAAAAAAAAAATAACCAAGTGCTACTGTTACAGCGCTATGGAGCGATTGATAAAAAAGATGCGAGATAAAATAAAAAAATCGGCACGGTGCAATGGAATTTCATCGGATGGTTTATAGAAATAAACGAGACTTTTGTGTCAAGGCTATTTCGAACCTTTTCAATCATTTTTCTTTTTACTTTTTCAACGCTTGTAAAATGTTAATCCTGTAAATAATTACGAGTTACAAGTGAGAAACGAAACGACGTGTTACGATGTGAGGAAATTTGTTCGCTTAAGAGAAAAAAAAAAATTATAATCATAACGATACCTTCTTTTGGCCTCTGTGGATAAGCATACTTTTGATTGAAACTTGTGTTTTTTTACCATTTTTCTTCATGGCTTCTATTTTAATTGTTTTCCATGTTGATAATTCAAAACACCGAACAGCAATGCGGGAATAGTTTGATACTTCTTTTGTGTTTACCATTTTACCTCTTTTATTTTTATTTTTTTTGTGCTTTGTACAGTGTAGATTTACACGAATTGTTTACGAGAAACAATAGGTCTTTTGTGTAATTCACAGTTTTTTGTTACTTGAGGACCATGGGTCACAGTTTTTGCGCTGGTATTTTTTTTTTACATTAAATAAGAAATAAATAACAGTAAGTAAAAAAATAGAAAAAATAATTACAAGGTAATTTTTTTTATTAAGCCCCTTGAATGCATAATATGTCAACTTAGAGATCATTTTTGTATCTTTGATTTTAACAATTTGCATTTGTAAATAAAAGATGATTTTGTGCTAATTGCTGTTGAGAAACGTTTTCCGTTTTT